AAACACTATGTTATATTATGTTGAGAATGGGGTGTTAATACACTGCGACCTAAAAGATCTATTGTGCCCCCTTCTGTCGCCAATGCACTAAGGAAATGTCTCAATGCCTATAACGACCCTTCCAATCCCATTTTCTCAAGGAAGTGTAGGATTTGAAGTGGTTTTATGTTAGGTAAGTCTCCCTCTTCTATTTGATATTCTCCTAGATATAGTGCCCTTGGATTCTGAAGTGCTACACATTTAGTTAAAATGTGAATGGAGGTTTCGTCCTCCTCCTCACATAATCTGCACTCACTATCCTCTTCTGCTCTCAGTTTACTTAGGTGTCCTTTTATTTGGCAATGCCCGGTAAGAATCCCTGTTACAATACGTAGCCTGTTCTTGCTCAAGCAGATGTAGGCTTCAGATTTTTTCTGGTTATATTCACCCAGAAGTATCTTGGCCTGTCTCAACCCCAAGAGATTGTTCCAATTATTGGTTCTTCTACTACCCAATTCTTTTTTAATCTTTCCCAATATTATGTTACTGCTGATAACGCAGAACGGCTCAGGTCCTACAAAGAGTGTTTGAGCCCCTTTCCTTGCAAGACTATCTGTTTTCTCGTTACCCTGTACCCCGTTATGCCCCGGGACCCAAGTGAGAGTAACTCTATTTTTCTTGCCTAGCTCATTCAATTGTACTAGGCATCTCCAGACAATTTTTGAGCTGATTACGTAAGAGCTCAGCGCTTTGATGGCTGCTTGACTATCGGACATGATGATAATCTCTTGTCTATGATAGTTTCTCTCGATGTTAAACTGCATACACTTTTAAAAGAAACACTATTGTCATAATCAAGTTAAAATCTATATATTTAATAATTACACTATTTTTGTAACAGAAAAGTACTGTTATCAAGATAGATAATTATTTTCTTTAAATATAATAATATATTTATGTGAATGCAAAAGAAACACTATTGTCGAAATAGAGTATAAATCTATATAGTTAATGGTTATATAATTCATTTTACGCAAAAGTAATATTATGAAGATCAATATTTTCTGTAGTATTTAGTAATTAGACGTACAGTAAAAGAATCATTTTATAATTATGGTAACAGAATTAGTATATTACGTAACAAGAGTTGTAAGTAACCCATTACGCACGAAGTGAAAAAGTTTAGGCACAAAGCCGCGCAGTAGCGAGTGCGTAAATTTCACGAGTGCGTAATGGGCTTACAACTCGTGTAACGTACTATAATTTTTCTACGCCCATTTAAAAGATTATCCGAAAAGGATTTAACGTTATTCTAGTGTTGCCAATCCATAAATTTTGAATAGGTAATTTCGTACCTTTCTTTGGATTTTAGCGGTAACAAATTATGTGTGGCATGTTTAGCTTTTTCTAAAATCTCCAGTGGAGTGCTCATACTTTAATTACTTTCACTACTAACAGACATATTCGTAGGTAAGTATGAGAAAATGTTCGAATACAATAATATTTTGTTACAAAAATTAACAATATAATCGAAACGACGTTTATTTCCATAGCATGCTAAGAAAACCCGACCTAGTTTTTTAAAATTGTATAATGTGTTGCCGTCATTTAGTGACATCACTTTTTTAATCCAAAATACATCTCGCTAATGCTAAAAGTTTTTATGTTTTTAAATTGACTAAATTTTTGTAAATAAACCAAATTAAGTCTTACGTAGATAAAAATTTGATTGAAATTTGATTAAACTAAGAAATTTATGTTTTCTTATCAAAACGCACGTGTATGTTATGGGATCTCATTACGTGCATGTTATTGTTAAATGTCATTTACAAGGAATGTTGACAGTGCGATTTTTATCATTTACTGACATGGGCGTAGAAAAAAGTCATTGTATCTATCTGGTTTTGTTCCTGTGGATAATGGGCAGTTTTGCCCCACCTCCCAATAGGAGTAAGATATATGCCAAATGAAAGATATCGATAAGGAGAACATTTGTTTTTATTATGACTTCTCTCAATTGTCTGTCCGTTCCGAGTTATACAGTGTGTCTACTTAAGTCGAAACCATATGGAAAACTTTTTTAATATTATTTTTCTGAAAAAAATTATTATTGATAAGAAGTTCTGCATGGTCCAAAACTTAAAATGCAATCATCAGATATCAACTTTTTTAAGCCGTATACGAGGTTTGTCGAAAAATATTAATTTTACTTAAGAATAAAGTATACCTTATTTTTTAAAATACAGAAGAATGTTATAAAGTAAAGTTATTTAGAATTAAAAGTTATATATAAATATGGAATTACAGTCATTTAGTATAAAAATTTAGGTTAGGTGAATATTTACGTTTTACATAATAAATTATTTGTAGTCATAAATAAATAATCACCAAACCTGAATTTTAATGGTAAATAGTTATAATTTTATATTTTTCATTCCAAATTCCTTTATTTTATAACATTCTCTTGTATTGTAAAAAATAAAGGTTCTTTACTCTTGAATAAAATTCATATTTTTTGACAAACCTCGTATACGGCTTAAAAAAACTGATATCTGATGGTCGCATTTTTAAGTTTTGGACTATGTAGAACTTTTTATCATACATGAATTTTTTCACAAAACCAATAATAAAAAATTTCCCATATGGTTCCAACTTAAGTATAAACACTGTATGATAGTGCATGTAACAAAACACAGGTTTTTTTTTGTTAAAAACCCCCTTTTTTAACTCTGAAAGTTCATTTGTTAGTGGGTGCTGATATACATTCTGTTGACACATAGTTGCCAAGTTATAGATGATTTAATTTAGCTAACTGTTGCCATAGGGATACTTATCATGGTAACAAGTAAACAAAAACCCAAATACCGTGATGAGCAAATGAGTAGTTGCTTAGTTATAGATTCTTTAATTTAACTATGGTTTAGCTAAAATCAGTTACGGAGAAATTATTGCCATAGGGACACTTGTCATTGCAACAACTAAACAAAAACTCAAATCTCGATTTGAAAAAATGCATAGTAGCCAAATTATAGATAATATAATCTAACTTTAGTTTAGCTGAAAGGCATTTATCATTCAAGCTATATACTAGCTAGCATGAGAATTGCGTTTATACCTATTACTTTCATTTTGTATGGATATTAAATTGTACTAATTAAAACGGTTGTAACGTTTAAAATTTTTCAATGCTAATACTTTTTAATTGGAAATTTTTTGAAATTACAAAATATTTTTTATAGCTTCAATAGATATTCATCTTTCTGTATAAAAGTAATTTTAAAAAATCATATTTCATAGTCTGGACCGACGCATATAGGATGTACCACCCTGTATATGTTACAAATGGCTTTACATTCGTTCTAATGTAAATGAGGTAATAATATTTATGATTGTATTATTATGTTAGTCCATTACTTTGATCTTTAACCATTTGTTTCGGTCCTTTGGAGAGAGCATATGCAGGGGTGTGTAACCAACACGTAGAGGCCATTTGGTAAGGGATACACGTGGCGGATAAAATCCTCGACAGCATCTTATGATATACCCGGATATTATAATTGTTTATATATTACTAAGAAGTAATAATTACTATTATTATCCTCTAATAAGCACTATAATAACAGAATATAGACACTGGTCTATCGTGCAATTAGTTACATTTAGGATGGTATAACTCGAAATGGACAAGTAATTGAGATGAGTCGTAATGAAGAGAAATGTCTGCTTAAAAAGAACTTTCAATTGATATATAACTTATCCTTATTAGAGGTGGGGCAATTTCCCATAAATTTCTGCCCATTGTTTTTTAACAGAATATTTGATTGACCAAATAGGGATCTTAATATTGTTATCCCAACATACATTTTTCGTTGAATTTACTAATAAATTTTTTTGAGTGTACTACTAAAAAAATATGATTCGCAAAAAAATATACAAAAAATAATAAAAATTGAAAAACAACTTATTTACTAATTTCGTAATATAATACTTGCCAATCTTATACCGTTTCGATCATATAATTTCTATCATTATATAGTAATTTCAAACAAATGTGTTTTCGATTATATCTTATTTCGATTATTTTTAATATCGATCATATGCGATTTCAATCGTTTGAGTCAATTTTCTGTCATTGGAAAATTTTGTAGTTTCGAACTTTCTTACTTTCAAACATTTTTCGAACTTATTTCACCAAAACTCATTTCAGACATACATAAGTAAAAAGCTTTCACAGTAGTGCAGTAGACAAGATTTTGAAGGCCTTTTCCCTTAAAAACTTGCCAGGTCTTTAATGCTGAATCCCGACCGTCTGTTTACTGGGTAAATAATCGAATTCATCATTGCCGATATAGGTCACAGCAATGTTTGAGTTTAAAAAATGCTTAAAAATAATTTTGGTCTTTGCGAAATTTTAATTTTTTTGAGTGTACCAAAACAAAACTACAAATCATAATAAAATAATTATTTCTTGTTTGCTATTTTTCATTCAAGTATTGCAATTGGATCCTAAATATGTAATATTGATAAAAATATTTATTTAATTTTCAATTATACAGAGTTATTCAAAAGATAAATACAAAAATATTTTAATTATAACTAATCAATAAAATATTAGTTTTATTTTATCAAATTTTTGATAAAGAAATTGCTATATAAAAAAAGGTATATTATGATCGATGACGAGTGTTGTTAACTTCCTGTATAACCGTAAGTAATTCTGAAACCTAATTATTAAATTTCAATTGGACTTGACCAAAAACCTCTCAGGAGTCCTCATCCGAAATTTTTAGATACCAATTTCTTATAATTTTCGAGAATCGTTTGATAAAAACAAACAATTACCATATATAAGAGTGTGATTTTCTGAAACCATTTTTGTATTTATTGTTGGTTATCAATATTAATTTTGTATATTCTATGTTACCAGCAATATTAAAACAATAAAAACAAATGTATATTTAATTTTATTCTATTTTGAAAATATAGAAATACCATATAATTTCTATTTAATATTGTACCTACATAACTTATATACAGTATCGTAAATAGCATTTTATAATCACAAAAAATAAAACCCGAGTTTCCTAACTCTAAAATACTAATCATTTGTAAATAATTGTTAATCATTGTTCGTGTAAATCGACATAATACAGTTTAAGACAGTGTAATCCTAATTAGTTATCTACAATTCCAAAAAAATGTTTTTGGAAATGACTACAATTATTTTGCTTACATACTATTTAAGCTACTTGTTAACATTTTGACAATAAATAGTATTTCTACAGCCTGATTTGAATTATTCTACTTTACATGACGAAATTTACTAATATTAACATGGTATTTTAAAGAAATATTATTTGATAAAATAATAGAGGTAGCTTTAATATACATAGGTTGTATACCCTGGTCTTCGTCTATCACTCCAGGCAGAAATAGTTCCAGAATTATCTTTTCCAGATATTCCAGTAATAGCAGCGAATCCGTTATCATCTGGGGAATTTATGTACTTGTGACCAATTTTTGCTAGTCCATCAACAATATGTCTTCCCTAAAATTAGTTATATATATATATAGACCGTATAAATGTTTTCATAATAATAAACATAATATTAAATTAATATATAATTTTACCTCAGTAGCGTATTGGGGTTCAAAACTGATTTCCATTGGAAACAGTTGATGATGGAATCGTTTTTCGTAAATTGCAGATTTTAGATCCATACCTAACCATAAATGTCTCATTATAACCTAAAAAGATTAAAAATTTAGCAGGATAATAGCTTATTGTGTACAAATTGCGGTTTATATAGATGCTAATTCCGTGGGCGAGCGTTTTTTGCCCGAGAGAAGATGGATGTCGCTGGATGGGCGTTATCATTTTTAACTATAGCCCGTATATTAATAAGTCATGAGTATGAAGACTAGATAGAAGTAGGCGAATCGGCAATTATCAAATTTTAAATTTCTGTCCATCTTTTTATAAAGTTTGCTAAATTGACTGTAGTTGGCAGGTCGAACGTCACTGCTGTTCATTTTCTATGTAAAAAATTGGTGAAAAGAATCAAAATAATGTGAAAAAAAGTACCTGGGTACAAGTAACATGAGTGACAAAAAACATCAAAGCAAGATTTATGTCGTTTCAGATTGAAAAACAGGATAAAAATCAGATGTAAAACTAAAAAAAAACACAAGGGGAAATCAATTCAATGTATTTGTAAGTAAAATATTGTATTTATGTATAAATATAATATTAATTGTAAACTAGTCACAACACGTATCTCGGAGTGTAGTTTATTTTATTACAAGTTTCTATAAAATATAATTTAACAGTCATAGATCATAACCTTCAAACAACAATAATTATACATTAAATTTAACTTACTAGAAAACAAAATTGTTTTTTTCATAGAGTTTTAATGTTAGATAAAGAGTTGCTACTGTTATTTTTTTGTTAAACCCCAATTTTGTCATTGTAAATGTTTTTTTACAGGATCGGTAAAGCACTTTCTAGAGATGATGATGTTCTACTCTTTCTAGAAGAGATTTCTAAATACGAGTATTATGAGACTCTTTTTACTGTTGGTACTGTTAGCAAAATAAAAAGGGGAAGGTCGAAATTAAAGGATGAGGCAATATCAGGTAAATTCCCAAATCCACTTTTATTCTTGTATTATAACAATAAGGAAATGTGTTAACTGTGTTTTATTTATATTTAGGTATAATTCAAAAAAATTTAGACACAAAACTTCACCATTTAACAAATCTTTTCGAATTTAGTCATACCCGCCTAATTTGCATTTTATGTAGATTAAACTAAATAATTTATCAATTAATTCATGCGAGACTTATTTAGAAATAAATACGACGGTATATTATGTGCTTTATTTGGCAATAAACAAGTTTATTTTTATTTTTTGACAAAATTATGTAAAATTCCCATAAGAAGCCATGTATTTTGAACCGCGCTACTAGCACCAGCGCCCTTGCGGTGAATTAAAAAAAGCTCAATTAGCATTCGTTTTATGGGACCGTATTTCGAGTATGCCGATTCTCCTCCTTATCTCTAGTCTTCATAGTCATGAGGTAAATAACAGATGTAGATTCAGCACACTACTTGCTTACAAACTGGATATCTACATCTCTACAATAATCTCTGTCTTAACCCTAATTTAATGTCATCAATAAAATAATTTTGAACTCTGTATATCTATATAGACAAAGTTTCGACAAATGTTTTGATGAAAAAGTCCATACTTGAAATGAATTACATATATTAATAACGCATGTGAAACATTTAATTTTTTTTTTTTTGTAATACATTTTTCATAAAAAGTAGATAGTCGATGTTTCAAATTTAGTAACCTCCTTCAATGCCGCTAACTTGAAAAATTGTTATAAATAAATAATTTTAGTAATTTAATTACATTTATTTATTTACTTATTTTATTTGTTTCTTATATTTATACAAAAATATAACAGGCAAATAAATTTTCCTACGACCACATAAGAAAATGTGAGTTTGCGCACTAATCTGTACTTAAGAAAGTAGCTTATATCGCACGAGTACTTAAATATATAACATAATTGTATTGAAAATTAACAAAGTAGGCTTTTGCGCTTCGAAATACATCCCCAAAGTTGAAGTTTTCCGCGAACTGACATTAAGTGACAGATTTATCGCTCGCCGAGTAACAAAGTTGCCTAATTTTAATTTCTTCTGAATAAATTATTTTCAAGTTATTTGTACGTAGTTACATGTTTTTTTGTTATATTATCCAAGTTAACATGGACTTTAAATGCCAACTGCTTTTTTCATGATTAACATAGGTATAGGCAACACATTATATAGTTTTTATATCTATTTCTTGAAAAAGTGTGATCGTAGAAAATATCTTGTATGTATTTTGAACAAAAAGTTCGCTGCGCTTTCGACAGATTGCCGCGCTCCGCTACGCATCACGCGGGTGACTTTCTGTCTCATGCGCAAAGTAGCTATTTTAAGTTGCAGTTTGGATTTAATTCAGAGTAGCGCGTAGATATTATGGACATGACTCATATCTCTGTCTTTGTCAGTAATGGCTTACTTAATAATATTTTTGTGGGTCATTCTTTACTATTAAATATGCAAATTAATGTTTATACATGGTGAGCCATTGGTGTTTGGAAGTCCAATATTTCGATTATTTTTGAAAATACGAGAAAATGTCAAATAAGACAGTTTTACGGTTCTCGAAGGTGCCTATTGTAAAAATATTTTCCAGTATACAGGGTGTCCCTAAAAAGCAAGGAAACAAAAACAAATTCAGATGGAACACCTATATATTATTTTATTTTTGAATTCTACTAAAAAATGTAGGTACAGTACGACAATATTGAGATTATATGCACATTGGCCAATCTAAAAATGGGAGTAATTATCTCAGTTAACAAAAGTAATCACAAATAGATCACTGAAACAATAACATCGAAATTCAGTTATTAACTGAGATAACTTCTCAGATTTTTAGATTTGTCAGTGCGCATCTAATTCTGATTTGATATCTGAATTTGTCGTACTATATTTTTGTCCCAACACCATGTGTGTTAATTTGTTTTTAATCTTTTGACATTCGAAAATTGACTTTTTCACATAGTTGAAATTAGGGTAAAACGGTTAACATGAGTCCCTATCATACTTTTGGATTAATTGAATCTATAAAAAAAATGTTACTTCCGGTTAAACCAAAAGTGGATTATTTTAGTACATATTTGTGTAAAGTATAAAAACTAAGATGGAGACATGTAAACCGTTTTACCCTAAATTTTAACCGTATATATGTTACAGATTTTCAAAGTGTGAAAAAGTCAATTTTTAAATGTGAAAAGCTTAAAAATTATTAAATTTAGACACATTGTGTTTTAAACAAAAATATTGAATTTTTTAGTAGAATTCAAAAATAAAATATAGGATATATTTTTGTTGCCTTCCTTTTTGGGCACTCTGTATATTGGAAAATATTTTCACAATAGGCGCCTCTGCGAACCGTAACACTTTTATATTTGATAGTTTTTCGTATTTTCACAAACAAACCTAGATATTGAACTTCAACATACTAATGGGCCACCTTGTATACTTATGTAAAACTTAAATGTTACAATAATGGAGCATTAAAAATTAAAAAAAAAAAAAAAAATGAAAAGTTACATAGTGCAATTCCAGGAATAGTGCCAAGCCAGCTGCTAGATAAATTTTCTAATAACGCCTAATCGGGACTTTTATAGATTGCTTGTTTTATTGTTAACATATGTATTACCACTCTTGATTAAACATTCAAATTTAATAGTCGTAAAATATTGTTCTCCAATAAAAATAAATAATTTTTAAAAACGCTTTTTCTATTTCTCAAATCGTTTCTGAAACAAAAGTTATTATTAAAAAACTAATAATAGAATATGATGCAAAAAATCAATTTTTTCTTGTTATTGTTCATGGTTGTTTTCTAAAGATAATATATTTTTTCATCATTATATTTACAACAGTATTTTTAAATTTGGAATTTATCGAACTAATCTAAAAAAGTAAATGCAATTGAAACGTCGTTATCAAAGTGTTTGATTTGATTTTGAAATCAGTCAAGTGTGATATCCTGTGTATTGCATAAATCAATTTTTCCAAGAAAACACTCCAGTTCCATAGATGGCTACCTATTTAAAGAGCTAATCAATCCTAAAAGTGTTTAGTAGTCACCTAGAATTTTCAGCAAAATGATAAAAATCATTGCTTTTTTAAGCGTTGTGGCTTGCGTTTATTGCGAAGGTAGGAAAATATTTTTTTTTTTTAGTTTTGTTGTTTAAAGTAACTAGAGACTAGTTACGGAAAGTAAATTTGTTCGTAGCTAGTCACTATAAAAAAATAAAATAAGAAAAATGAAAATAAACCATTTTTAATAGTATTGTACCTATTAATAAACAACATTTTCCATTCTCATTTGAAAATATTGTACGTTGGTAAATTATTTCTATAGTCATTCTTATCGATTCTAGACCGTATAATGCAGTCGCTTATGCAAAAAAAAGTGCCAACCTCGGAATAAGAGATAATGAGCTGGAAACTCATATACACATTAATTTTGTTGTTCTTAAAGTTGTCTCAAAAGTCTCATAAAATCTCGTGTCTGCGTCGTAAGTTATTAAAGGTCAAAGTTAATAAAAATCTTTTTTTTATTATTATCTAGGTTTCTATAGCTCCAATGATCTATTTTAAAAATTGTAGAGCACAAAATAAAATTTTGTTGCAAACGTTTTCTCAGACGATCAACCGTTTTTAAGACAGAGGGCGGAGAGCTCTCAACGCTCACCCTTAGCTATACATACTGAGATAGATGGTCAACTGTGAATCTCAGTGAATAGTACCCTGAATTAAAATAGTAAATCATTAATTTATCATTAACATTGAATAATTTGGATTATTTATTAGTTAATAAATGCATTGTATATAATAACATTTTACGTATATCTAATATATTCATTTACTTACCTATCTTGTGTAATTAAAAAAGCATTACATAAAATAATGTAAAACTAACGATTGTAAAGTCCGTAGATCCATTGTTACTCTTCCAAAGGATAACTGTAACCAGACAGTTTGAGAGTAATTTTGAAGGAGACCTTCAATATGACTTAAGTCCGTATCCGAAATCATTATTTGATAATAATGGCATGAGAAAAACCACATGTTGAAAAATAACTGCCATTATTCTCCGACAGAA